TCTGAGCGGCTCGGTGCGTCTCCCCCCTCGACACCCAATGGGTAAAAGAGGGTAACAGATTATATATATATATATACTACATATAAAATTTCATGGAGTAATTATCCTATAACTTGGTGAAAATATTTGACGGAAATGATCCCGACCAAACTTTTTTTCGGTTTGAGATCGGTTTTTCAGAATGGTCGACAATGTAAATTTTGGAATATTGAACGTTTTAGCTCCTGCAGTTGCCATTTTCATTTTAATGTTAATGAATTTTTGGCTTCGTTTTGGTTTTTGATCTAGCATTTTGGACATTAGCACATTGAACAACAAGAACGAACTGATTACACCTCAGTTAACCACATCCAGACGTATTTTGGCGTTGTGTTTAACTGTTTACTATGTATTCATTAAAATAAAGTAAATCGTATTTGAACACGATGTAAGGAGTTTGCACTTTTTGTTCGCGTTAACCGCGTGATTTTATATGGGAATTATGACTTGGGGCCACATCAAAATTTTGCCGAATAAATTCTTCCCAAAATGTGGAAAATATGATGAGTTTTTACTTGTGACTTTTCATTGCATTCATATCTTTTAGATTTGCTTAAACAGGTGGCTCAAAAAAATTAATGAATGAGTCAATTTATTTTATTGATTAAATCAGAAACGGCTTACTCCATTTTCCCCGAAAATTTTGGAAATAGAATACTGTTACGATTAATATTCCACTGCAGCAACCCAAGTTGATATACGTGTCCTTGCAAAAATGTTGATGACGCCATCGCAAAATATGTAAAAAACTCAACTCGAAAATGCTGGATATGTTTCATTACACTTTAGGAACGAGGGAAGTTCTGTCGAAACAAATTTCGGCCAATTTTTTAAAAATTTAAAACTTTCTAGAGATAGTAAATATCTTTTTTTGAGATCTTCTCGGGGGTCCCAATTGTCTTTTTATTAATGTGAAACCGCCCTTTTTAAAAATGTAAAACATTTTCAGGGGCGCCAAAGTGTCTTTTTTTAATGTGAAACTTTTTCGGGTTCCCAACTATCTTTTTAAAAAATGAAAACCTTCTCGAGGGTGCCAAATGTCTGTTTTTTTAATGTGAAACCTTCTCGGGGGTTCCTACTGTCTTTTGTAAAAATATAATACCTGATGGGGGGCGCCAATTGTCTTTTTTTTAAGAATGTGAAACCTTCTCGGGGGTGCCAACTATCCTTATTTAAAGAAGGCAAAACCTTCTAGGGGTCCCCAAGTGTTTTTTTTAAGAATATTAAATCTTCTGTGAGTAGTACCGTCTATATTGTTTTTACTCCATAGAGGTTAAGACGAAAAAGTCAAATTCCGCAAAATCAAATTTTATAAGTTTTCAGAGAAGCAATATTTGTTGGACTGTAATTCAGAAGTGAGGGAAGTTCTGTAACTTTCGACCAGTCTTTTGTTATTGTAATCGTAATTGTTAGTGGTTAAACCATTCAAGGTTTCGAGTATATGGTAACATAAGTTCCCCAGAAATTTTGCCGTCATTAGAGAAATATAAAAGTTTTTATTCAATTTTGACATGTAAACAAACGTTTATTTTGCCGTCAGTAGGCCACTAAAGCTTTGGTTTATTATTCGGTAGCACCATAAAATTTTTAATCCGCTAGCGAAATAAAATTTTTATTTTGCTGTTTTAAAACCATGGTTACCATTTCTGTAATTTCTCCAGTGTCTTGCTGCTCTTTCCATCTAAAGAACTTTTGATACACTTTCTGATCTGGTCTTTTCTGGGAGCAAGTTTTGTCGTTAGAATCTTGCATGATTTTGCAATTTTTCGATAATTTTAGTTTGTTTTAAATAAACAAACAACCGTCGCCAGAGTCACATACTACACACACACACACACACCTGATATTGTACACTAAATTCTACGCATATAAAACTTTTATTTGGTCGCTGTCAATTCTGACGTTTCTCGAGTCTGAACTTTGAATCACCAATTTTTTCACAATTTGGGACTTGGGGTTGTCAAAATTGAATAAAATTTTGTATTACACTCGCGGTTAAAATGAATGTGGAACTCGCGGTCTTAAGGCGCTCGCGGCATACGCCGCTCTCGCCTTAAACTGACCGCTCATTAAACATTCACTTTAACCGCTTGTATAATAAATAACTATAAGAACTCAGGAAAGTTGAAACAAGTGAAGTTTTCCTGAACAATAAAAAGATTCAGGTAGATATTTTTCTTCACTAAAATTGACATCATTTCTTTCTCATTTACAATTTTATTACGTTGTGAAATATGTAAACTGATGTGAACTTTGACTGCTTTAGATTTGAATGGTGTATAAACAATGTTTTTCTATTATCTTTTCTTAATTTGGTCATAAATATATAAATACAAACAAAGATACATATGTTCCGTCAAAAAACGCATAATGTGTTCATTCTATGGTGTCACGAAAAGAGCGTCACGATTTACGCTGAAGAAGCCATGTTGGCCTATTTTTCTGAAGTTGCAAAACGGGGCTTAATAAACAGCCTATGACCAAAATATTCAACATTGAAATCAACCTTAAATCTGAAAAAAAAACATTGACCTCAGTTAGTTTCATAAATTAAATATGTTACCAAGAGAAAAACTGAGAGTCATACTATTAAAAAATCCAAAGTAGTGGAGAAGGTGCATATACGAAAATTGATATCATTAAAATAACGATCAGTCAAACAAAAAGGGCATATTGCACTTTATACATTGCATTAATTTTTGGAGCGGCTGGAACATTAAGCAAAAAATTAACTTTTGAAATTAAAAAACCGATGTTCAAAAATTGAATTCAAAATTTCTTGTGACTAGTATCTTATCTAAAAAAATATACAGAAAATTTTACAATAGTTGAAAATGGAGAAAAAGCAGTATGAAATTTAAAAGTCGCTCTCCGACTAATTCATATTCCAATAAGCAATTTTTAATTTTCGGCAAACGCTGCTAATTGGAACCAACACATTTTTGAAAATGCCTTGCCAAATAGCGACACCTTTAAAATCAGTGCAATCCTCTTTGTGTATTAGGCATTATTTCGGGGGTTTTCTGCTTCAATATTATCGGATGCTGGTGCGTATTTCGCAGAAATGAAACCATATGGTGGCTGGACGTTGATACTGTGACAGCCCAAACATCTCGCCTTAAATTGCCTGACAAAATGGAACCCTACGTTGTGTTTTTGGAAAATGGCGGGATGCGTTCAGATGCAAATGGTGGACCCCAAAGTTGGAAAAGTACCGCTAAATAAAACACAAAATTTATGGAGGACACAAAATTATTTATTCCTCCACTGACAAAAAACCGCGTCCGAGGGTGACTCGTGACTTGCTCTCAGGCTGCCCAATGGGGGTCGAATGGCAATCGCTTTTCAGCTCCAGAAAAAACTTATTGAATTTTGGATAAAATTTAAATGAAATCAAATTAAATGTTCTAAATCAATGCAAATATTTGAATATCACAAATTTAATACAAAAACAAAGCAAAATCTGAATTAAAGTAACTGGATGCAAATACACAAGGTATTAACAGACGTGTAACAGCAAATTTAAAATTATGGCAGTCAACAAGAGCACAACAAAAATACCCATAAGCGCGTTCTAATACAAGGTGATAATATTTATCGCAAGCCTGCCACAAAGCAATTACGGACAAGCCGTACGTGCAGGCCGTCACGGTCGCAAACTCGCAGTTGGGTTCCGGCTTTGGGGTAGAAGCTGACAGCGTTACGTCATCTGGACCGCACCTGAATTCTATTCTAACCTGCATCTTTTGTGCAGATGGCGCGATAAATCCAGCCAGCTCGACTAGGAACCGCGCACACCGCTTCTGCCACGTTTTCTGTGTTACAAAAATATCGAGTGATCATTGCGGGTAAAAAAGCGTCTCGGTGATTTAGTTTTTAGCGTTGCGAGGAAATGCCTCGCTGATGTAATGATGATAACTATGATAATTGCCTAAAGGATGAAATTATTTTAACCCCCCCCACGCTAGTAATAATAAATGTTGTTAATTTAACTGCCGTTAATGAACTATTAGCAATCTTGTGTGAAGAATTAAGAAGTAAGTGTTATAATGTAACACGTAAGTATCCATCCAGAAACTTCATCATAACTTGTAAACAAAAGGTGTTATCCTGACTAAGTGAATTTCATGAAATCTCCTAGTAAGTACATGTTACATTGTGTTAGAACCAGTTAACGATTAAAATCCTAACATGAACTTCGAATTTACAAACAGTGAATTAAATTTACACCGAACCAAACAATAATAGCGAAAATTTAATTCAAATTCGGCCACCACAACACCTTTCGCAGAAAGCTATATTGAAAATTCCGTACAAAAAAAAAACATCCCTGCCATTCCCAAAGTGCAATACCAAACCCTTCTAGTAGTTTTGCAGAGTAAAATTTAGTAAGAGATTTCTAGATTAACCAAGATATTAAAGTTTAAATTAAAGTCAGAAAATCATGAACTTGGTGATAACTCGTTGACACGTCACCCCTTTCAGCAGCTGCATGATTAAATACAAACCTAAGCATAAAGATTAGTAAAATTAGATTCATATTAGGATTGATTTCTTGTTTCTTTTTAAAATGTGTTAACAATGTAAAGAATTTTTTCTCTTTTCTTATATAAACATAACTGTTGTTTTTTTTATTGTAATCTGTTAGTTTTCGACTTTGAAATGGAAAAATGGGACACAGAAGTGTATAATCGGTTGCCTAATTTAATTTTTATTTTCTAATTTTTAAAGATTGCGATCAGTGAAAAAACTACAACTCTCCTCTATTAACCTTGACAGAACAAGGAAAAGAAAGAAAAACTTTTAGCATTTTAATCCACATAAAGCTGCTTAACACTAATACTCTAAAGTGCTATTTTAACTACAACTGATAATTTACAGAATACAAAATGTGGTAAATATGTTTTATCTAGTGAAATCGCTGTTGCCAACAATTTCCTATTTATTTTATTTTTTAAAAGCTGACGGCGACGACGACGAGGAATACGAAACAGTAGTTACGATCACCTCCCTCACAGGATCTAAGAAACCATTTGTTTATATCGAAAAACTTTGCGATGATCGAGATGCACACTGTAGGAACTACTCATGTTCAGCTTTCTCTACCGAGAAAACCACAATTTTTTGGTTGTTCAAGAGCTGTCCAGACAAAAGTTGTCCAGCCGTATACGTCGGTGGAGCAACAATTTATCCACACATATGTTATTGACACTATTTTCAGAAACCAGCAAATTCTCAACAGGACGGCTTGCAGATTTCTTCAAACATAACTCTAGATTTATTATCCGCTGGGTATCTGACCTGCGTTGCTAATAACTCTCATGGGAACATGGCAGATATTGAAGAAGTTGTTCGAGTTAATGGTATTTAAATTCAGAATGTGTATACAAATATGTAAAACCTACGTATTTTAGAGACGGGACGTCGATTGATTAATTTGACGAAACAAGACGTTAATTACGAAATTCAGCCAGACGAAGGAAGTCTCTTCGTAAGGTGGAATATTACAATGTTAGGCCATCCATCCCCTGAGTTAACTCTGTAATAAATTTAATTCTCTTAATTAAAAAAAAAACAATAATAATGTTTTGCTGCTTTTAGACAAGATGAGAAAAATATTACAGTCTGTTCTTTACCAGAAAAATATAACTGCACAATAAATGGCCCTGACGGTTATATTGCACTGACTATTAAGAATATATCGGTTGACGATTTAAATAAAAACTTTTCTCTAGTTGCGAAGAATATTTACGAAACCACTAATTTTAGTTTGATAATGAACGCATCAGGTTTAATAGGGTTTGAAATAGAAGCGGAAGAGCTGAACGAACTTTACAGTATTTTATGGTGTGGCGCCAGCTCTGTACACCCCTGCAACGTATCTTGGTCTTTTAAACCCAAATGCCCTGAACGGAATTGTGCCTATAAGCCGGTAAGTTTGCAGAGTTTATGTATTTTTAAATTGTTTGAGCTTTCCGTAATCACATCTCGTGTTGATAGTATTATTTTTTTTTTGTTATAGGTAAATGGAATACATTCTCAGGACAGCCCCCTTCAGTGTTGGTCACATTTAAATGTTAGTTCTTCGGAATCGGGATTCCTGCGGTGCCATGTGAGCAGTCAAGGAGCCTCAGAAGAAATTTATCAAGAAATAGGAAGTAACATATTCTAAACCACAAATGGTAAATATTTTTTAATGGTAATTTGGTTCTAGATGTAAAAAACGGTGTAGAGATTTTTGGAAATGACAGCATAACTCAAATTATTGACGAAAACACTAAAAGAATAAAGACGGAATTCGGAAAACTTATCATTTTAACGTGTGGGGCTTCGGTGCTTAACTATACCGATGACGTTAGATGGGCAATTTCTGAACTAGATAATGACATCAGCGGTAATATGTTTGTCTGTACTTTCCGACAATTGTTATTACTTTTGTAGAAAATACTATTGTAAGTAGCGTGAGAAATGCGCTCTTTATCAACACTCGATTACTATTCTTGTCGGATACCGGACAATACAAATTTGAGGGCACATACTTTTGCAAGGCAGCCCTGAAAAATGGAAATGGAACCTTTCATTATAGAAAAATTGAAGTTACTACTGCAGGTAATTGTTGGTGAAAAACCTTAAAGAATGCTTTTATTGTGGTTTCCAGAAAAGCAGTTGACTTATTACATCATTGCTATCTTAATAGTAGTCCTCTTGGCTATATCAGCTTTCATCGTCTTTAAAATGAGAACTTATCAAAAACTCCAGAAAGAAATGAAAGAATTGAATATGGTTGGCTTGGCTAATTTTGAGAAAGGGGCGTTGGAGCATTTGAATCCTAATTTGACTATAGATGATCAGGCGGACTTGCTACCGTATGACAAGAAATACGAATTCCCTGTAGAACAACTGAAATTAGGTTAAATTAGTAACTATGTTATCATCAGATATTTAAAATTTTGTTTCAACAGGAGAACAAATCGGATCTGGGGCTTTTGGCGTGGTGATGAAAGGAGAAGCGAAAGGCGTTTTCGAACACGAACCAAGTACTACAGTAGCTGTAAAACTCGTAAACAGAACTATCGGAGATATTTATGTCAAAGCGTTAGCGTCCGAGCTGAAAATTATGATTCACTTGGGCAAACACATCAATATTGTAAACCTTTTGGGTGCTTGCACTAAAAACATTACAAAAAGTGAGAACCACCAGTTCGTTTAGCGTCCTAGTAAAGTTTAAACTTTGCAGGAGAGTTGTTAGTGATAGTGGAATATTGTCGTTTTGGAAATTTAAAAGACTACCTTCTCAATCACCGGCATTCTTTCATTGACCAGATAAATTCGGAAACCGGCCAAATCGATTTTAGCATAGGAAGCGACGTCTTAGGTATAAATAAGTAAGTTGTTCTTGTTTCCAATACCGTTTTTAAGTTTTGTTTTTGCCTTAGTGATCCAGAACTTTTATATGTTACACCCTCTTTCGGCAACCGCAACTGTTCCTCTACTTCCCAACTTTCGAAAGAGGAAACCCCTCAACCCGACAAGGACGCTAACTACCAAGGGGATTATCAAGACATGAACAAACCGGTTTGCACAAGAGATCTTCTTTTATGGTCGTTTCAGGTTGCGCGTGGTATGGAGTATCTAGCGTCACGTAAAGTATTACATGGTGATCTCGCTGCAAGAAACATTCTCCTAACGGATGGCAATGTCGTAAAAATTTGCGATTTCGGTTTGTCGAAAAGCATGTATCAGAAAGAAATTTACAAGAAAACTGGAGATGTGAGTTAAAGAAAATTCGTGTTGTTATATTTTTTCGGTTTGTTTTGTAGGAGATGTTACCTGTCAAATGGATGGCTATTGAAGCCATCACTGACAAAATTTTTTCGATTCAGTCTGACGTGTGGTCTTTTGGCATAGTTCTGTGGGAAATTTTTTCTTTAGCTCGGACGCCGTACCCTGGAATGGAATATAGCGAGAGTTTTTGCGAAAAGCTTTTGGATGGGTATAGAATGAAAGCGCCACAGTTTGCAAACGATGAAATGTAAACAGTGTACAATTAAATTTACAAAATGTGAACTAAGTTTTTTAGATATGAGATTATGTTACACTGCTGGGATGCTGAGCCTTCGATGAGACCCTCCTTCACGCAGCTGGCACGCAAGATCGGTTCGGTGTTGGACCAACAAATTGTTGAGGTATTGTCACATATAGATAGATATACAACGTTTAATGATAAGAAAAAAAGAAGTTTAGACAACAATGAGTGGTCTGCTCTCATAGCATGTTTTCTGGTGTGTAGCGAAAAGAAAAGAACATTTCTAAACACAAAATTTTATGAAAAGAGGTGAGGGGCTTGTTGTCTAAATTCTTTCTTTTGTTAATAGTAGGTTTTTTCTGTGGTTATAATTTAGTCATTTTTGTAAATTATTGCAGCACTACATCGACATGAACACCGGATATTTGAAAATGAACTCCGAGAGATTTAAAAATGAAAACAGCGACTACCTCTCAATGGTTGGAGCTCCTGAATTTCAGAAGTATTCGTCACCCTATCGTTATGTCAATGTAATCAAACCTTCTATTAAACAAGAAGAAAACAACACATATTTATAATTTGATTAATGGCAACAGTATAAGAAAAAGTTGTCGTAATATTGACTTTCATTTGCAGTTTAGAGCATGTTTTTCCGGAACAGTAGAATCCTCATCTGTGTTGTGTAAAACTGTGAAACATAATTGTGTGGACAACAATATGGAATATTTTGAAATTTTCGTCATTTTTGTTTTCAATTTGACGATTTAAATTACTTAAACACTTTGTATTAGATAGAACACTTTATTTTAAACAATTTTTAGTTTTTACTTCACGAACATAAGCTAAGGAAGTATTGTAATCGAATATAACGGTCATGACCCCAAGAGTACGAAAAATGGGTCCTCCGTTTCCGTCTGTCAGCCCTCCGTGACGATTTTTGTTAGACAGATAATCTCCGAAACGACCGAATTTTATATGTGTATCATGAGTATGTATATATATGTAAAACACGAACCAAACTTTGTTTAATCATCCCCCAACAATGTGATGATCACCTCAAAATTGTACACAGTAAGTGGGTTTTAAATTGTATAAAATATACTCCCCACAAAAATTGTGGCACCATCCATTAAATTTTAAATGTTTACAATTTAAATGTAATGTAGAAGAAACATATCGATCTAAATCACATTAAATGTTGTCATTATTTGGCACTGTCTTGCATACATTTATCCCTAATATGTATATGGTAGCTACATGGAGTCAGGTTTACTAGAACTGGAGGTAGTGCAATAATTTTTGTGGAGAGTGTGACATAGTTCTACACGCGTAGTTTCTGAATCCGTGTTTAGAAAAAAAATCAAATTTATACATATTTTTAATTAGAATTTTATTTTTTCACCCAGTTGCATCTAAATGCAACGTGCATCTGGAGATGTTTTGATATTATGTTATAAGTAAACGAAATTATTTCGGATCGCTAAATAATTGCGTGTTGTATGTTCATGTCCACAAATTATTTAAATTATTCGTGATTATAATAACACAGTATTCATAATCCGGATTTATTTGTAGATGTTTATAGAATCTTGTGTATTAGGAACGGTAATGAGGAATTAGAATTTTATATTTTTCTTTACTTTATTATGTACATGGTAACTACATATATGAAATTAACAATAATATATTAATTGCTGCAAACACATAAATCTGCAAAGCCATTTGGAATTGTAATATAAAATATTACCAACTTAAAGAAGTACAAAAGTGTTTCTATTAAGGACGCTAATATTAGTGATAACATTTATAAATGAGTTAAATATAACATGTTCCATTTACATGTTCCAGCGCCATCCAAACCTAAATTGTATTCATTATATCGCATTTTTCCTTTTAGATGTTTGTATTGGTAATACACACTTCTTCCCAATTGTTAACACTATTCGCATTCCGAACTAAAGGCTAAGAAACAACAACGATTTAGAAAAATGTGTAGTACATTCTGTAACGATTTTTATCGGTCTAAATTTAACCGTAACTACCTCTATTCTTTCAAATAAACCCAGTACCTTGTACAAGCATACATCATCGTGCTTAGTGAATAAGATAATCGACAAAACTAAAAGATGTAGTTATGTAAGTAGTTATTAATTTCTATTACAACGCTAACCCTTACCACTATGATTGTTGGATTATTTATAGGACCTAGTCCTGGAACCCATAAATAAATGTTATGAGTGTTTAACATTAATATTAACAACGATTTTCTGTTCCTTGTGTTCCATTTATACCACGGTAAGTATGTTACTGTGTCAAAAAAATTACCAGTCTGCAAAATATAGTTGGTCAGAAAGTTAAATATTTTTAATGTTGTTACCATTTCCCCGAAATCTTCACATAGAACGGCAAAATAGATCATTGCTATGTAATTAATTAGTATAGCAACGATGAAAGTTGCATTTTCTGTTGACATCTCTGGGTGGAAGTTCTAGCAATAGATGTAAATGTAGGTGTCTATAAATTTAGATATGATAGTCACTTACCAGAATATACATCATAATCAAAAATACGTTTAGCAGCATATATGAAAGAGTGCATGCTTGGATGGGTAGCCAGAATATTTGAATGTTTTCCAAGATGAAGCTATAAACCAATATTTAATTCGTGGTAAAAATTTTAAACCATTTTACTAACTTATTCAATGTTATATGTCTCCGAATGCAACATTTTAATTGTTCATGAATAACATTTTGACAATGCAGAGGATAATGTAAAATAGAATCGTTTATTCCAGGGGGATTCTTTGTTAAGTTAAGTAATTGTTTATTAAGAAGAAACAACTGGATTTTCAACTGTAACAAACAGTAAACAAAGAGGATAATATTAACTGGTGTAAAATAAACTAAAACTGGTGCCAAACACCAGAATATTTGCTCTACTTTCATAGCCAAGCCTGTAGAATATTTTTCAAAAAAATCCTTGGCGAACAGTATTTCTCTCGTATGTGCAAAATTGAAAAGTATCAGCATTACGCAAAAAAGGAAGAGTATGAAGATAACTGTAATTCCTAGAAGTTGATCCTCTATTTCTTTTAGAACATATTTGCAATTTCTGAGGTCATACGACCATAACATTTTATGAAGAGTATCTAGACCAGCCGTAACTCGTGACTTATAAATTAATGCAGTCAATATAGAGGAGACAGTCTAAAATCAAAAAGTTAATTTCGAATAATTTGTAAATGATAACAACGCTACAAATATTTCCATCGCCAAAATAGGACCAAAGTCGATAAACAACGCCTTTTTTGCGGAACTATTTAAAATGCAATACATTTGCACGGAGAATAACATTGTGTGAAATACTAGTGCAAATATTAACATACGTTGAAACCATCTATTATATATTACATCTGCTGTAAACTTTTCGAAGTTCAAAAAAGCGTACTCAACTATTTGTTTTTTGAACGAATTATACTTTCGGTATATTTTACTTTTGGCAAAGGTGTAGCAGTTTATTGTGTTGAATTCCATTTGCGTAAGTTTTCGTTGGTCTTCGTAGTAAAATATCTTATGAAAAACAGTTTGAGAATTTTACTCGTCCTGTATGTTAGCTTTCTGGAAACAAATTTTAGGATTATCTTAGAGTTTATAGTTTAGCAGAATATTACAAAGTTGTATTTATTTACGTGAAAGACTAGACATTAAATACTTACCATAAATATGTAGCAGTTGAGATGTGCACAAATCTCACGAGTAGCGCACGTATTCCACTTTATTACATTAACAGGAAACACATCGATGTATCATGTAATCAAGTTAAGGATAATATTGTTTTAATGAAGACTTGAATACTAACTACGTAGTTTTTATTCAATCTACTAGACGCTTAAACGAGAAATAAGCATTAGACTTAATATCTCCATAAATAAATGACGGATTCGTGCTTATGGAAATAACGTATCATATTTCTTTATCTTGAAACATTATTCAAAGACAATGTCTAACTAACAATCAATAAAAATTCCACATAATGATTCTTGGTTAATATTAAATGTTTCCGTTTCGTATAATTAGGTAGTGTAATAATTATAGGGGAATATGTATTTTACGTCCGTAGCACAGTCCAAATACAGACTTGTCTTTTCGTTAATTAAACGCTAATAATAATTAGATTCTGTTTGTTTTTAGAATAAACAAAGATGTTGCAAAAAAAAGAGTTCAAATTACCAACGCTTCAAGAGAAAATTAGAATGACGTCTTAAAGGAAAAGAAGTGAACCCAAATTTGAGCTCTGGGCTTTATTTGATGACTGTAAATTATAGTTAACATGTTTACCATAGAAATAATATTATATGGAAGTAACTTAGAGAGAGATGCGCGTTGTCAACACAGCGGGACAGAGATAGGGCTCTCTGGGTGGCAAAACATTGACGTGAAACTACACAGCACTATGTTTTAGCAAATTTACGTATTTTAGGCTCCAGTTACCTTATTTAAATGAGTACAGTCTTTTTAAGTTGTATTTTATCCGATTATTTGTTAAACATGGTGTAATCGTATTGTGCGTTGCATAGAACGTGCAAAGAAAGCAATCCTGTTTCATTTCAATGGTAAGTCACATATACAGACGAAGGATTTTGTAATTATAATTTAAAAATTTTGTTAGATTCCCTAAACATTCCGAGTTACAAAAAAAAAACAGATTATTGCTATCTACAAAAAGAGGGAATTTTATATATGTTGATTAATTATTGTTTTAGTTATTTTTACGTGGATTTAGAAAATAGATTTTACTAGAAAAATCATGCAATTTAGTATGTTTAATTTAATTAGGCACCCTGTCACTTTTATCGAAAGTTTAATTACTTTTATCCTAAAACTTTTAGATTTACCAATGAACATACACTACAAGATTACTTAACTTGTAGAAGATTATTGTATTAACTGAATTTGTAATATATTGTACATTCTGTATACATGTCATTTTATCAAAAGACTCCACCATTGCACCACTTAACATGATTTTTTTTATTTCACATTTACATATAATTGTAATGTAAACTGTAAAAATATAGTTTTCATTAATAAACGTTTGTTATAGTTAATTGTTTGTACAAATTCGTAAGAAAACGTATTAATTCCCGTTCAAATGAAGTGTTTCTTGCCACCCAGCACGTGATACGTGGTGATCCGTCCTTTCCCCACTGATGCATAACCGCTCTAGCTATTTCCTTCTTGTGTTGATTACACTCGCTCGCGTATGGAAACGTATGCAAGGCTCCATCCACTCCTTTATTAGATCAATGAGGTTTACAGTTATAAACTACGCTCATGTAATTACGAAGTAAATACAGAGATGTGGTGACCAAATTTGAATTAAAAATGAAACAGCTGCGCGAAATCACATTTGAACAATTTGCATTTGAAAAAAAAATCAATCAAGAAAAATCGTTAAACATAGGCAACCATGTGCACGTTAGCGCTTTTGGGTAGTGGGTAGTTCTGCTTGGGATTTTAGGTAGAGGGTTGGTAGAAGAGGGTGGCTTGATAGCGAGAAGTCTGCTTTGCTTGGTAGAGGGAGGGGGTCGCGACCCTGGCACTGTTAGTTTGGTTCTCTATATGAAAGCATGGTGAGTTAGGTTAAGTTAAGTTGGTTTGGTAGTTAAAAGAGAGGAAGCCTTTATTTAACGACAATTAATCGTAACAACGACGACGCCACAGTGGTTTCCCCAACAGACGTTCTAATCAGAAGAATCTGAACTTTTGACCGAAGCTAACACGCATAAATTTGATTCATTGTTTGTAAATTCACAGTTCAAGTTAGGAGTTTAATCGTTAACTGGCTCTAACAAAATTTAACAGACATTAGATTTGTTTAGATGAACACTCACTAGGAGATTTCATTCAAATTAATTCTTCACACAACATTGCTAATAGTTCATTTACGGCAGTTAAATTAACCTAACGTTGCCCCACTGTGGAAAAGACCGTAGAAAAGTGCAGCAGAATTCATAATATAATATCGTGGACTGATTGGAGGGATTAAAGATTTCTCTCCTTAGACAGTTATCACCGTTACCATCATCACATCACCGAGACATTTTATTTCTCCCAATTACATCAACGAGACGCATTTTCCTCGCAACGCGAATAATTACATAACCTAGGAGCTTTCCTCGCAACGCCTGATGAATTTTGTGTTTATTTATCATATGTTTTGTGTGGGGTAAACTACCCACGATATAAACCCTCAAAACAAATTGCTTTAAGTAACCAATCACTTGAATCATGGCATAATGTAACATCATATAAATTCTTTGTTTGAATCGTTAATAAAATGTGGCAAATATTAATCTCATGTAAATTTGTTAGCTTTGCAATTTTTACCTCACCCAATATTTCTCTATCTCACAATTTTAACTTCAGTAATTTTCTTTGTTGTATAATTTAAATTGACTGTAAACTTTCATGTAATATTTTATGTGCACAAGTTTATTCCACACCACATCTTTTGTTTTTATAAATCTTTGCTGTTTTTTTTTATGTAAATGTTTTTTTGATGCTTGTTTCCATCACAAAAATTATCTGTCGTCCAATCTTAATCTCAAATAATAATTATTTGTCGTTTAAAATTTCACTAGATTGTATGACGAATTTAAGTGTTGTTTATTGCTCTTTTTGAGTTTAATATCAGATTTATAAGAACTGAACATTTAAATGGAATTGAGGTTAAATAACACAGAAACACATGATGGAAGTGGAGTGCGCCGTTCCTAGTCGAGCTGGCGGGATTTATCATGTCAACTGCACAAAAGATGCAGGTTTTGTATAAAGATCAGGGGAACAGTCTGCACGACGTGACGCTGTCGGCTTCTGTTCACAGCCGGGATCCAATCATGAGTTTGCAGACGTAACGGCCTGCTCGTCTAAGCATGTTCTTCGTGTTGGGCGGCAGTACTTGCGATAAATAAAATTACCGTCGTGGGTAGTAGAACAGCTACGACCAGGAGTCCCAACCTCCGCTCGTGCTACAACGCTTTTTTTTATTTTTTTTTGTCAGTGGATGAATAAATAATTTTTTGTGCTCCATATATTTGGCGTTTTATTTCGCGGTACTTTTCCAAACTTGGGGCCCAACACTTGCATCTGAACGCATTCCGCCATTTTTCAGAAACACAACGTAGGCTTCCATTTTGTTAGACGATCACAGTCAAGGTCAAATTTTTGAATTTTTTGCGGGCTTTCAATTTTTTTTCACAAGTCAATTTAAGGCGGGATGTTTGGGCTAAATAGAGAAACAAATTGATGCAGTTTACAGAAAAGTATAGTATGATTTATACAGCGTAATGCTTTAATAATATTAATATTAATAATAATAATAATAGAATTTATTCCTACAGGTAAAACACACAATTACAGGTGTGGCGCAGTCTATATAGGCCTGAACCCAGGCGTTTTCCCCCACCAGAGGGCTAGCGAGAATTAGTTCTTTAGTATTTTCTCTGAACCCAACACCGTTTGTATTTCCTCTTATGTGAACAACGTTTGTGAATAAATTGTTAATTGTTGGGGATTGAGAATTATTGGGCACCCCCCACAGGAAATCAAAGATATTCATGTAAAAAGAACTTAAATAAGAACAATAAAGAATAATTAAAGATTAAATATTAAGAGAAGCGCCTAAGAACAAAGTAATCTATAACTAAAATGTTTAGATATATTTGTGTATCTTGAGTGTCATCTACCGTCCAAATAGCTTAATAAATACCGGGGTAATATAAGTGAGATTGCTGACTATTGAACGTCGACGACGTGTAAAGCCACGCTGATTTACAGAATAGAGATGAGCCTGTAATAATTACGCACATCGAATAACTCACCAGATTTGAGAACTCTACAAATTCCTTTGCCTCCAAACATTCTGAAATGTACTACTTAGTTTAATTAGCAATACACAAAATGCAGGAAGACAGTTCAAGCCGGCACACATATTAGGTTTTAATTTCTTTAAAGCTAAGTTAATTCGCCCATCTGAAATAATAGTGAGACTTATGCATTCTACAAGAAATTCGTGTTTGCTCCCTTTTATCTTGAAAGAACTTCCAAAATATATATGTATTTGGGTGACTGATAAAAACGGATCTTTCGGAGGAGAAAATATTTAACAGAAAAATATTTAAAGCTGAATGGTATGGATCCAAATTTAATAGTGCAGCATTATCGTTCGCACTGTGCACTTTTTTATACAGGGTTATGGAAAACTACATCCAAAGCAATGTACAAACTGTTTTCTTTTATGCAAATGTGACATGAAAAGTTTAATAAGCCTAGAACAAAAACCGAAATCACTGAGTTTATTAATCAAGAGAGCATGATCTAACCTGTCAAACACTTTTGAGATATCCAAATAAATGAGTTGTTAAAGTTGTTTGTAATTCTTGTTACACTAATATAAGTCAATTCAAAGATATTAAGAATTAAGACTCTAATAACCGCTTTTTAAGAGCAAATAACTACTAATATTAATCAAATCAAAGAGGATCTTTAAACTCAAATCATTGAGCTGAAATCCAGCTTGCCGACTATTCAATCCACAATTTGTGCAATTTGAAGATGTTATTCAGGAATTCACTGAGCGGCAAAAGAGAAAAGATAATTTAATAATTTTCGGTGTTGATGAAGAACAACGACTGTTACAAAAATTTATCTCTCTCTTCGGACCGTACACCTTGACAAATATCTTACTACAAACAACTTAAAGAGGAGCTAGCTGCCCGTACAAAAAACGGGAAAGGTAACCTAAGGATACGTTATTTCAATGGTTCACCTAAGATCGTCAATTTAAACTGAACGGTTTACCCAATTATAATACTTCAATTTCTTGCCTTTACCAAAATGTGCGTGGCTTGCAGACCAAGATTCAGGAAACTTATAATGCAACTTCTATTTTTAACTATAATATTATCACAGTAAGCGAAACGTGGCTGTCAGATGATATATCCAGTAGTGAGTTAATTTCAAATAACTACGTGGTTTACCGTAGCGATCGTAATTTTGAATCGTTATCAGTATCTCGGGGTGGTGGAGTTCTTTTATCTATTGTCTTTGCCATTTCTATTGAAACACTACCTGTTGATTTTGCTTAAAATTTAGCAATTGGTAACAGCTTTCAGTGGATTGACAACGGCTTTTAGTTAGAAAATTGTCTGAATATAAACGTTGCCAAATTTACGATTAACAAGTGGTGTTTCAATAGAAATGGCAAAGACTATATTCGTAACTCGATTGAATCGACTTCTTTAGATCTATCTATCATTAGGTACATTTACTGTCCCTACTATTGACTAACGGGCCAATTTCAAGTTGGTTTGCAATTAATTGCAAGCTGCGTTGCTATGGTAACCTCGCAAAAATATAATGGTTTGTATTAAGAGTTCTACGAGATCACCATAGCAACGGCGCTTGCAATTAATTGCAAACCAACTTGAAATTGGCCCGTTAGTTGGGAGCATGTATAATTAATTCTAAAAACACTAATAAACTACTTATATTCGTAATATACATTCCTCCTTCAATAACTTTAATCTTTTTTTCGATCTTTTTTCAAACCTTTACGGTAACTGTGAAGATGATATTATAATCATTGCTGACTTCAATACACCATCAGAAACTGTTAATCCATTTAATCTAAAGTTGACACTTTTAGTCATTTCCTCAACCTTACTCAACACAACAGATGACCAAATAGTTTTGGCTCTATCCTTGATTTAGTTTATTCCAATCTTAAGACCCGATTTATAGAAAGCGAAGTTAAAGTTAATTCGCGATTAACTTTTAACTGAGGTCCGTTGCGAGGCAACGCGCATATTTTAACCAATCACGGGCTCATATTCCACGTTTTAATTCTCTGTTAAACTAATCGAGGATTAAATATTTAACTCGCTGTTCTATAAACCGGCCCTAAATGTTCTATCCATCTTGTATTGTTAGTGAAGATAGATACCATCCATCTCTTGATATTCGATTTCGCAGTGTTTTAACTTCAGGAAAGATAATTTTTCCCTTCTCTATCAATCTTTTTGTACAGTTAACTGGACTTTTTTAAAAGGTAAAACTGATGTTGAAGATGCTTGCGATAGTTTTTACGGTGTATTGGTGAATTTATTTGGAAAATATGTTCCCAATGTGAATGTTAAACGTTACCACAATTATCCACTCTGGTTCACCTCAGAAATTACCGAAGCAATTCGTAAAAACTCCACCTATCGTACTAAATTTAAAATGTATCGATCACAATATTATTTCGATTTATTTAAATCTTATCGTTCAAAAATTAAATCTTTAATTACCGAGGCTTACAAGTCGTATATTGAGGATATTCAATCCAATTTTATTAATAATTCCAAAAAATTTTGGGGTTTTGTACAACAAAGAAAAGGGAACTCTAGAATTCCTGGTATCATGCATTATAATGATCAAACATTATCAACACCTGAAACTATTGTTGATAGCTTTAATCAGTACTTTTGTAGTGTATTTACTGACTCGAATAGCACAAGTTTAAACTCTGTGTCTGTTGATTGTAATAATATTAATATTAATAATAATAATAATAATAGAATTTATTTGCCCAACAGACACCAATTATAGGACAAAATAAAAAGTAATACAAAGTAAAATAGATACAAATAAATACAACAAACAAAAAAATCTAAATCTAAACGTAACTGTTACTAATAATAATTTATAACAAAATAAAGAAATAAACTAGCTGAAATTGCAAACTACATCATAATAGCAAAAATATCATCATATTCTTTGTTAGCATTTCTAGACATGTGAGTAATGGGAGCTTTCCAAAGAATATTGGATTTAGGAGTTGGAAAATCGAATGTAGACATATGACGAGTTGCAATCCGTGGGACAGAGAACTTTAACGACGACAAGAGATCAAGACAATCAAGTTTCCCGTTCACCAATTTCCATGCAAAGCTGGCACTATGTATTTCTCTCCTTCTGGCAAGACTTATGACCCCATGTCTTTGCATTAACATATTGTAATTAGCATTTCGCTCTGGATAAATATCTTCACACCTAAAAGTAAAAAATTTCAAGAACCGACGCTGAATTTTCTCAATTGCGAACTGGTGTGTAACATAAATTGGATACCATACGATAGAAGCATACTCCAGTTTACTGACTATAAATGCAACATATAGAGTTTTAATTAAACAAGGGTTCATAAAGCCAATAGTTTTACGGTATATAAATCCCAACATCTTGGAAGAAGTTAAACATATGTCACTGATGTGCTCAATAAAAGATAACTGCGGATCAAAGGTAAGACCAAGATCTTTAACAATTTCTCTCTTTTGTAATGATTGGTTACAAATTACATAAGAAGTAGGAATTGGATTTACTTTTTTTGTATAAGTCAGATAGAAACACTTATCAGGATTTAGTCTTAATTGCAAAAACTGACAGCCATCAATAAACAGATTTAATTGAGCTTGAAAATTAATATAATCAGATTCACTGTCGATAGAGGCATATAGTTTTATGTCATCAGCATAAGCTAGTATTTTATACTTCATAGACGCAAGCAAATCATTGATAAACAATGTAAATAGTAGCGGACCCAAATTAGAACCTTGAGGTACCCCAGAGGATCCAACATAACTAAACGACGTGAAACCATTGTAAAAAACAAAATTGATTCTATTAATGAGGTAAGACGCTATGAGTTTTAAAAAGCTAGACGTAAATCCGAATGCACTAAGCTTTTGCAATAAAATACTGTGATTGATGCTATCAAAAGCACTGGAGAAATCGGTGTAAATGACATCAACCTGCCCACAGTTGTCAAGAATCTCACTGAGATATTGGGTCAACGTAGCCAGATTGGTAACAGTTGAGCGACCAGAAATAAATCCATGTTGGTGTGTTGACAAATGACTACGAACATTGCACAAGATGTTTCTATAAATGACTAACTCGAATATTTTGGCAAAGTTAGAAAGAATTGAAATGGGTCTGTAATTATTAACATCTGACTTATCTCCCTTTTTGAAAATTGGTGTGATTCTAGCACATTTCAAAGAATCCGGAAAAACAGAACTTTTTATAGCTAGATTGATTATTATTGATAACGGTTTAGCTAACACAAATCTAGCATCCCGAACAAGAAAACTGGGGATAAGATCCTCACCAAAAGTAAGCTTGTTTGTTAAAGTACTGATAACTTCTACTAACTGTTCCTCCGTAACAGGCTGCATACTAAAAGATAATTTATTTGTAATGATGTCAGTTTGTCAATAGATATAGACCATATTTCTAGAGAAGAAATTCTGGTTACCTTAAATCATTGTAAAAATTCATTTACCGCAGGAAGTGATGGCATCCCTAGTTTTTCCTGAAAGATACTGGCTCCGTATTAGTTGAACCGCTATTTTACATATTCAATGTTATCCTTAAAACATCATCTTTCCCTTTTATATCGAAAAAATCCATTATTGGTCCCATATTTAAAAAAGGAGACGTTAGGTTGATTTAAAATTATCGTCCAATATCTCTTCTGTGTAACTTCGCGAAAGTATTAGAAACCATTTCATATGAACGCTTATATACCTCTGTTAAGTAGTCAATTTCGCCCTTTCAGCATGACTTTATGGAAAAAAGATCAACAACAATTAACCTTATGTGCATTACGCAAGATATTTCTGAAATATTCGATGATAATGGTCAAGTTGACGTAATTTTTACTGATTTTTAGAAGGCCTTTGATCAAATTGATCACTTCATTTTACTAAAAAAATTGCTGTTGATGGAATTTTCTAACTCTGTCGAAATCATCGGTGCCAACATCTGGGGTTCCGCAAGGATCTAATTGGGGCCCGTTACTATTTTTAATATTTATTAATGATTTGCCTAATGTATTACTAAATCGAAAATTACTATTCGCTGATGACTTAAAGATCTACGACAAAATCACAGGCATTGATGATTGTCTTCAACTCCAAGAAGATATCAATATATTAATTAACTGGTGCTTGAGAAATCCAATCGCTCTTAATATCCTAAAATGTATTGTCATGTGCTTCATACGAAAATTAAAACCTATTGTCTTCACATACGCTATGGGAAATTCGGAACTTAAAAGAACAGATATTTATAAGGATCTCGGTGTCATATACGATATGAAACTTAGCTTTGTAAACCATATACAGGATACCATTTCCAAAGCATTCAAAACCTATGGATTCATCTATGGAAATTGCAAAGAGTTCACGAATATTCGGTCTTTATCAGCATTCAGCTCTATACTGTGCTCTAGTTTGTTCTAGGCTGGAATATTGTGCGTGTGTATGGTCTCCGATTTACGAAATACATATTACTCATGTAGAATCTGTTCAGAGGAAATTTCTGAAGTTTTCAAGTTATAATGTTGATGGGACATATCCCCCACGTGGCATTGATCATATATTGTTACTTCAAAGATTTCAGTTTACATCACTCAAAACCCGTAGGATATCATCCGGCATTTTGTTTTTATGTAAACTTTTGAACAATCGTGTAGACTGAACATAGCTTCCAGAAAACATCAACTTTTTAGTCCCCAGAACTCATCATGCTCGTCAAGTTTTTACATTTTATCCACAACCCTGCAGAACAAATATTTTATGTAAGTCACCATTGAATGTAGTATGCAATAATTTCAATAAGGTTGCTTGGAACTGCGACCTCCATCTCGATGCTATTACAAAAATTAGACACCACATCGTAGCTTATTTGGACAATGGAGGTTAACTTAATTTATATTTATTAATTTATTTTTCTCTTCTTTTTATTTTTATTTTAAGTAATTTCAACGTATCATTTAACTCGCATGAAGAATGTATATTTTCTGTAATTGGGTATAATACCTGTACAAAATAAAAGTTTATTAATTAATTAATTAATTTAGCTATTTTCCTAAACTCCTTAACTTCCTTGCAACGCAAGAATACACCTCCATCCTTCAAAGTTTTCACTTTTCCAATTTGTATCATCGGATTTGGAGGATCAATGAAACCAATTACATCTAATTTAATTTTCGCAGCAGATTATTCGTTATTTTTGGGTTTAATTATTATTGATTCAGCAGAATTTTCGCAAAGGGATTCATCATAACTCTTTTTAATACTTTGCTCCTTTTGGGTGAACTTTGATTCATCAGCTTGCGGTTAGCGATTAAGAGGTTGGTTTAAATTTGTTATTTCAGTACGCAATAACTTATTTTCAGTAGATAACTTAGTAACTAGGGCATTAAGAGAGTTGAGTTGCTCTATTACGGGATTCATATAAGTAGATAACACTTTATGCAAAACATCCTCCAAACTTGATAAGTAGGATGAAGGTATGTCAGAAAGATTTAATACATTGGGCGCCGCACCCGAAATCGTTTTTATACTGCAAAATTTACAGCAACATGATGTGAGTTGTTTAGGGCATTTTTTTTAACTCAGCAAAAGTAATATCATCCAAACCTGCACAAGAAATGTGATAATTACTGCCACACTGTTTACTACATGTGATGAATTCTTCAAAGCGCGAAATTGGTCTATTACATTTATGTGTGGCTGTACCTAATATTAATTTCAGTTTAAACTAAACCATGAAAAAGTATCTAATATATCTTCATGCTACTTTCAACTTTAAGCCAATAGTAAATTTTAATATCGGAGGAACACAATTTCTTGATTATATAATTTTTTCGTGTGGTTCGTCTGCATTTGGGAATCTGTGGTCATACTGATGTATCTAACTGTTATATTTGCCTCCAATAATAAACTTCTATAAAATGCTTATGCCCAATAACGAATAACCTTAAGTCATTTAATGGGTTCTCAGTGACTGGTAACAATAACATACGCATTATAATAAAACTTTAACTCTTTTAAATAAGATTTTGTTTTTCATTTAAGTAAATTTATGAAATTATAGACTGAAAGCTTACGAACAGAGCAATAGTTTTATAACATTACTAAAAACGATGATGTCAAACTCTAGTAAGATGTACTGTAAAAGGTGAAATTGCTGCCAATGATAAATTTATTAATCTTAGTTCTAATCGATTACACACATTCTCGTCAACGATTATGTGTACCAATCATTTATAACTATTATATTATTTACAGATAAGTACCTACTTATTCTTGGTTCGATGATGAAATAAAACACCGTGTACATGTAACTATATATCATAATACATAAATAACAGTATTTTCTTAGACGATTAACATGAATCTGATTTTGTTGGTGAACATGATACATACAGTATACTATGAGTACATACATATAATGTGTAGCACAAAATACACATCTTCAATATCATTATACGTATAATATACACAATAATTAACAATTTTTATTATTTATCATATAAAAACGTATTGTGTTTAGTACTAATATAAAATATTTACAAGATGTAATAATAATAATAATGATAAGGCTCTCCATACATGTTCGCAGACTTAGAATCAGCACACCGTACCTAACAGTTGTTAAACTATGTGGATTCTGTAAGACCAGTTCAGGGATATACAAAATATTGGTACCTTTTTTCAAAAAATTGACTTCCAATTGACCTATTTCGTGAGAACGAAAACAAAGTTATGCAATCTGATCGTAACGATAGAACTCGTGGTTGCATAACTTTATTTAAAAAAAAATGGCATAAATAAAACTACCATCGCTATTGACACATCACTAGTCAACCAAACCCTAAGTACTCATAACCATAATCATAATCAGGTAGTTATACAAATGGAAGGCATAAGCACATAAGCATACAACATATCTACGATACTAAAACGTCTATGACCCATTCTTCCTCCCATCCACCCACTCATGCGTTGGTTCACAATAATTAACTGTATGTTGTTTTATGTGTTTATAAATGTTTTCGAGTGTACACAGCAGTGATGGGCTCGTTCTTCAGTCTGTTGTTTTTCACGTCGTCGCGTTGGCGTTGTCGTAACCTTTTATCAGCGTTTCGATGATAAACTTTATCGTGATTTTGTAGATGTTCTCCACATTTTCGGTGTAACGGTCTCCTAGGGTCGTTTCGACGGCCGTCAGGAAGGGTTTTTCTATTTTCTGTGGACAGAGAAGTGGTCTTAGCAAGAGATTTAGATAAATGATGTGATCGAGAAATGAAATTTCAAACATAAATTGGAATTTTTTCGGGCCAATAAAGATGGGGAAGTTATTATTATTACTGAAAGATTTTTTCACGTTGTTGTGATCTGTTCTATTATCGTTTTTAATAAAGTGTTAAAGAATTATTTCATTTTGAAATGTAGGTGTTTCTAGTACTTGACAAATACAAAAGGATAGAATAGGAAATTAACACCAAGTTAATTAAATATTAGATATTCTGGCCATCATTTTAAAGTTGCCATATGGTGATGGTGAAGCAGAATTTCTTCTACTATCTTAGAAATTTTCAACACGTTTTTTTAAAAAATTTTTTTTTTCTTTACTACGTATCTATTTTCTTCTTTTTCGTTTAGATTTTCATAAATTTTATTAGTGGCATGTGTGAGCTAGAAATATCATTTACACAAGCTACAATCGAAGAACTGTAGGTAGATAAGCAGTACTCTATAGTTGATACACTTCAAGTTCTATTTTCTTTAAAATTCTCTATCCAAATTTCCAAACGATTTGTAAAACAATTAGAAGAGGTTGGGGTAAATAGACGAAAAAAAAATTGATTTAAAAAAAAATGTCATCGTCAAAGATGTTATTAAAATGCCATGAAGAAGCATTGTTAAAATAAAAAAAAGTAGGTATAAATTTTTAGAATGTTACTGTGAATATTAGACATTAACTGTATCATATTTAAAATCGGAGAATCTGGCCAAAGAAAATTTGGTCTCACTAAATCCACCAATCGAATGTGAACAAATATTAGAATTTGTTTCACTTTGGTTGGTACCACTGAATCAACGGCCATCTTAATCGTGCCAAAGGCCTATTGCGTGATGATTGATCTTTCTATTTGATCATTATATTTTTTATTACAATATTAAAGTTTATTTCATAAATGCCCGATTTTTCATTAGACCATACAGTATGTGCAGGGTTTCCGAGAAAACTTTGAAGACTCTTTCCAGATGTATAGGCAATTTTAATAGCGAGCCCTGTGAAAACTTTTTCTAGCTCTTTTGTTACTAAAGGAGCAGAAGGGATTATTGCCAAAACCATCTTCTTTAGGTTTTCTGTTTAAAAAGTTAAAGATTTGGCGACCAATTTCTTAAATTTAAATTTATTAATTAATTTATCAACTAGTCCTGGTTCAAACTCGTTACATCTGGTTAAATCTCTAATGATTCTGAATTCTTTTTTGAACCTTTCCTTATTCAGGGGAACGGTAAGGGATTGTTGACCAAAAAATTGAGGCTTGCCATTTTCTGATGAAAAAAGTGATGGTCGGCAGTGATGTAGCGAAATGTACTGGTATTTTTCCTAAATATAAACACCAAATTGTAACTTATGACCATTTCTAATTTATTAGTGTATAAAGAAAGGGTGGTTACCTGTTGTTTTTTGTTTGTTCGTGAAAAATGTCATCCAAATATCAATAGAAAACACTTTTCAAATGGGCTGGTGAAAAATTCAGTCATGAAAGAATACATTGTCACTCCTTCATGCTGCTGGAAAAATTGCCCGTTCAGTTGAAAAATCTTATATTCTGACTGACATTAGTTAGTTGAATATATACTTTGTTGATATGATATTCTAGAAAAAAAAAAAAACGATCGCTGAATCTTCTACTTTTCAAACAGAAAACTCAGAGAAGACGTTTTTGGTCACAATCTTTTTTGTCCCGTCAGTACCAAAAGGGTAAGAAAAAGTTTTCAGAGGACTCGATAAGGTTGTTCATACATTCGGTCAGAGTCTTCACACAGCGTAGGATAAAGAAAGGATTTATTTATAAAGTTTGTAATCAAAAATATCATTGTATTTTTGATTATAGATATTGGGCAAACAAAAAGGTCAATTACCACGGGATTCGAAGAACACGTGGCTCATCTTAAATTCGGAAGATTTGAAAAATCACTCATAGTATACGATGTAAACTGTTTAAAATTAGTAGGTACATATTAATAATAATTGTAAATTTCTAGATATTCACCAAAGTTTAGAAATATTCAGAAACAAAGACTAGGTAGATGGCGGATCCATCCCAAATTCGTCCTTCTACGTCCTTGTAGAGGTGGGGACGGGGCAAAGTGAGAAGAGTAGGGTAGACAGAATATAAGTTACCGAAGTTGTAATTCCGCTTTAGGTTAGTAAGTATTGTCTATACTCTAGATTATTGTAATTTTGAATTTTCGGTGTTATAGGGAAAATAAATATATAATGTTCATATACGGAACAAAATGTAATTTATACTTAATATTTATTCCACTAGTAATACAGGGCGTTATTGAAAGGTACGTACAACAAAATTGACAATTCTTCGCGAAGTCTAAGAAGTCTGAAAAACTTATTTTGTGTCATCAAAATTATAAGGGAAAAATTAACCCATATCCAAACTTTTTAGACGCTACTGAAGGATAAATAGGTAAAACCAATTTATTTTAGTATATCCTAGTAACTGTAACAATAGTAAAAAAATAAGAGTCCCTTTTGTTGCTACAGATACGACCTTTTTATCAGAGGCGTACAGCGAATTTGGACAAAAATTTTAATAATTTTTATGTCTAAAAGAAGAACACTTTTACCTGAACTTTTTTTACTTTTAGAACCCATATTTCGAGACCAATTGCGAATTTTATTTTGTACGTACCTTTCAATAACACGCTGTATAATCCAGACTTTATGTGACGTAGTTAAGATACCCATGTAAATCCGTATTGGTGACATTAAAGTAACTTAAACTTCGAATAAAACATATTGTTTTATTGTTAAGCCATTATAATTTTTAAAGAATAAGTTGGTCGAAGGTTATTTCGACAGAACTTCCCTCGCCCTTGAACTGGAGCCCAACAAACTCCGCTGATTTGAAAAATTATAAAAATTTTCGGAATTTCTGTTTTCTGATAACCTTATAAAGTAAAAACCAGTGGCGTAAATAACACTTCCGCTGTTCTTTTCACTTGAATTTTTCAATTCTTCAACTTTTCATTCTTTTTTATTTCTCCATTGTTAGGGATTTGCAATTTTTCGAGTTTTCAAGTATACAATTTTTAGTTTTTCCATTTTCCAATTTTTGAATGTTTTAGTAGTTAGATTTTGTAATTTGTTTCTTGAATTTTCAATTTTTCATTTCTTCAAATTTTCGATATGCAATTTTTCATTTTCGTTTTATATTTCCTTTATCTTTACAATGTTTCAGTATTCGGATTTTCTAATTTTTTGTTTTTTCATTTTCAGTTGTTTCAATTTTCTCTTTCTTCAATTTTTCGAATCGCAATTTTTCAGTTTTTAATTTTTTTGTTTCTTTAATTACGACATGCAACTCTCCGAGACCTTCATTTTTAAATTTTTCAGTTTTTAGATGTTCCAGCTTTTGGATGTTCCAATTTCTCTATGTTGCAACTTTCAGATTTTTTAATTTTTGATTTTTCAATTTTAGATTTTTCATTTTCTCGATTTTTCAGTTTTTTTTTGTTCAATTTATGATTTGCAATTTTTCTAGTTTTCATTTAAAATAGGTAATAATAATTATCATTATAAGTATTAATTTTTTCCACTTTTCAGTTTTATGATTGTAGAATTTTTCCATTTTCAACTATTGTATTTTAAAGCTTTTTCCTTTACTCGAATTTTCAGTTTCTCAATATTTAATTGTTCAGTTCTTAGATCTTCCAATATTACGCTTTTCGATTTTACATTTTGACGATTCTATAATTTTTCGGTTTTCCAATTTTTTTAATAGATTCGTTTTTTCTTTTCTCCAATTTTTCGATTCATTAATTTTTTTCCACATAAATTTTCCCGATCTATAGTTTTTCAACGCTTCAATCTTACGTTTTTTCAGTGCTTCGATTTGCAATTTTTCGTTTTTACTTTCCGAACGTAAGCGAAGGAAGTATTGTAATCGAGTCCGTCGACCGACTCTCTACTTTTACGTTTTCTCGACCTTTCATGACCCCAAGAGTACGAACAGATAGGTCTCCCGTTTCTGTTTGTACATAGTAAATAGGTGCTAAATTATATAAAATAACAAAAAAAAATGGTAATCAAAATATATGTTTCTTCCCCTCAAAAAATTCGAATAAATTCTAAAAATGTGAAAATATGATGAGTAAGGCTTGGATAATATGAAAAATGCATATTTTTGCATACTTTGCATTATTAACAATTTTTTATTTGCATTTTGTGGAAGAGACGGAAAACCTAGAATGGATTTGTAAGTATTTCATTCTTCGATTTCCAAAATCATTCATCATTCGTTTGCGAATTTTATGGCAAGCCATGCTGCCCCGAATATTCCATTAATTAAGTTAAGTAGTCCTGCATTTAATTTATTTTTGGAAAAATACTCTAAAACGACTGTTGCAAAATAACTTTATTTACTTTGTTGTTGAGGAAACAACAGATGTATGTGGCAGACATATAATATATAGCAAATTTATTAGTTGGTACTTTATCTGCAAACTTTGTGTCAGATTCTTATAAATCAAATTTTACAATCTTTTTAAAGAGCTGGATTTGGCCGATTATATATCAATGGCGAGGGAACAGATTTCGACCAGTTTTTTCGTACTTCAAGGGTCATGAAACGTCAAGAAAATGTAAAAGTAGATAGTCGGCCGACGGACTCGATTTTAATACTTCCTTTGCTTACGCTCGAGCAGTGAAAAGTGTCCTTGCGTCGACCCACAATGGTTTTCATAGTTGACAATCATTATGATTAACTAAATAACGCATGAGTCTTAATTTGAATCTCACATTGTGACTGTTTTTAGTAGCTCCCAGGTTGTTTGAACTCATAAATTATTTCGTAAACTATGGGTGAAGAGTATATTGAACTGCCATCCACTGCGTCGGAAGTTGCAGTCCCACCAAGAGCAGCTAAAACAAGTGTATTTAAAGTACTTTAGTTAGCTGAGAAACACTTTTTTTCCCAAATTGTGCTATTGTTTGGAATTTCCGGAGCTTTCAGTTGTGATAAACTTGTAATAATGAAACTACAGGAAACATATGGTATGATTCCTAAATATATAACTCAAGATTCCTTGTAATAAACGATTACTTGCTCCAACTGTACACTAAAATTTGTGTTATTACGTCCAGATAAAATCTCTGACGATCGTTTTTTCTTAAAATATGTTGACGGAAACGCAAGCGTAGTAAAGGGATTTTAAACTATCTATTTGGTCATTGTTTAAGAGGGACCTCGGCGACATTGTGAGAGTAATATAACACTTTTAAAGAAGCATGAGAGGTGGTAGTCGAACTCAGTAGTCAAAGGATATATATATCGAGGAATCTTTGAAGAACAAAAACAATATTACCACTGAGATCCTTGCTTGTGATCCCTACATCGCCTGCAGTAGTTTAATGTAAATTAGCTTTCCAGCCATTGGAATATCCCAAGAAAATAACCAATTGAATTTAAAACTGAAGATACCCCAAGCGGTAATAATACCATCAGCCATCAAATGTTGATACGAAATGTCGCATGCAATCCATCCAAATTGTATCAAAGAGAATTCGAAAACTAGTGGAAGTAGTTTTCTCGCCGCAGCACGATGGACAAGTACTTTTAATTTTAATTTCAGTAAATTACAATTTTTGTAATTAATTTATTCCCTTCAAACTCAGATTTTGAAGGATATGCCGTCCAAAGTTGGCATCATATAATTGAAATTTAGATATACATTGTCAATTTCAAAATAAATCTACATTTTAAATAATTTTGCTAAAGTAGCAGCACCTGAACACAGATTCCCTTTATTGGGTTGTTTACCCTGTCTGATTAGCAAACCAAGTTTACCCAAACGAAACCTATATTTGGTTCAGTCATACCTATACTGGATTAATAATTAGTCAAAAAATCAAGTCAAGTCAAATTAATCAACAAATCAAGTGCTGCCGAACTTCTTTTTGAAACGAACAGTCTTAGACGTTAGCGTTTAAACGATTTGATGATGTTAACCTTCCTATAGAAAACACGTCTGCGTATTGTATCAAGTTTGATGTTTAAGGGCGCTATCTCGTTACTGTACAACATTATGGCAACGAAATACCGAATCAGCTATTTAATCCGAGCTTTCAACCCACCCAGAAATACTCCACTTTGAAGCCAGGTATCCGCCGATGCGAGGCCCCAACTTGGTGCAAATATTCAAAGAAGGCATCCAAATTGTCCAATCCTTTGATACCCTCATCCAGCGTATTCATAACAGTGCTTGCGTGCTCAGCGAGTTCCAAACTATTGGCTTGATCCTCCCTAGTCTTCAGTTCTTTGAACTTCTCGAACAAATTTAATAACTCGCCGTGCTCCTCGAACAACCTGAAAAGTGAAACGACAATTACAAACTGTTTTAAAAGTGGATAATTTTTGGCCAAAATTGCGTTCCATCGCGCCGGAAACTTTCAAACGACGTTACCCCGAATAAAACAGGAAGCAATAAAACTGCCTCCGAGGAAGACCGAAAAAAAATCCTTTCCATATATACACACCCGACCCTGCTGGGTCAACGTATTCGGATGAATTTGTCGCGGAGTCGATAAATCGTCTCTTATCTTTTCCTCTCTTTTGTGCGATTTTAGAGTTTTATTTACAGGAGTAGTGGTTTATAGCGGACGAAGATAAGAACGACAAAAGGGAACGTTCGGATAATTAAATGTGGATTATCACGGCAGAGGGGTGGAAAAAAAATTTCGGATTGATTTATTCGATGAGAATTTGACTTTCGTGTGTTGGTTGGAAGCAGTTTGATTGATTTTGTGGCCGGCGAGTTTTACATCATAATCGTCGGATGGAATTTATTAGCTTTTCGGTTGATTGATTTTGCCAACGTTTGCGGCGTTAACTCCGTGAGTAAACCGTCAAATTGATTGGGTACTGTATAAATAATAGCTGCTGGCCAATTAGGGGGTCAGAGAGTAGAAAAATAGGACTCGGAAGCGGAGGTTAATCAAAAACAACGTGGGTTAACTCAAGGAAACGTGGAGTTGGAGTTTGTTAACATTAGCGAGAGGAGAAATCAAAAGTAATGTTCTCACTTGGTCGCAAAATATGCACACGATCATCATAAAATTACTGCAGGAATCTAATTGGACTTAATAATTTTTCTAAAGTTATCATTGACTTATCAATTTCTGAATTTTTAATAAATTAGTTTAATAATAATGTTTCTTGATGATATTTAAGGTGACAACTGAGTGTCAGTCTCTCTCAAAAGAATTATTATCGATTTCCATGGCATGCTGTAGTCTAAAAAAGATTGTGCAGTTATTTGACATTTTGTAGTAGCTGTCACACTACAAACAATAATTAGTGAAGTTACACTTATGTAGAGAATATCTACATTTAACGCTTTAATACATTTTATTGTCAGCAAGACTAACAAAAGGTCTTTATTGTTATTATAAATATCTTTTCTACAATATATTAAAACAAATAATTTAACGGGTGCGCTTGTTGCGGATTAGAGCTTTCATGGTGATCTACTAAATATTTAATCGCGTTTTGTGTTTCCCATTTTTGTGGAATAAAGGGAGGTCCCTTCCGCAATACAAAACAAAACCAGCAAACTTCCTAATGGTTTATTTGCTCGTAAATAATGATTCTGTTATAAATTAAAGTCTTTAGAGCCGCACGAATCTGGAGCTTAAATCAACAATTCATAATGTGGAGGTCGGATTTCAAATGAGATGCTGGCGGTGGAGCCCAGATTAGACAAGCAATATTTTACTTGTAAAACATTTAAATTGAGTTGTAAATTAGTTTCGGATATTACGCAAGTTTACACAAAGATAATGGGAGAATTAATTTATTGAATATAGATTTTACGACGGTGTGTAAATTTAAACACTCATGTGTCACAACCGACAAGAAGTCAAATGATTTCGTAGCCATTATTAAGTTAAACTCTCGGCAAATCGAGTTTCTTTGATTAAGTGTCCATTTAGCAGTGGAGACGGAAAATAAAAGAAATTTCTTCAAACAGTTGCAGCTACCTTCACTCGATTAAAAGAAGAAAGAAGTTTCGACGGAGCGAGATAATTCCGAACGACTCGCGTCGCACTTTTTATCAATTTAAAATAATTTTTCCCGTCGACTCTGGGAGCTTTCCGGAGTTCGGTAGAAGTCAGAAGTTTTCTTGGAGGCAGACGTTCGACGAATATTAATGATGGGGATGAGCCACTGGAAGGGTTAGAGCTGCTGCGAATTTAAAACTGAATAGTCATTCATTAACTTGATTGGATAACACAATTACGAATTATCGGATAAAACTTTGTTTACTGGATTAAATTTGGCCGATGAGATCCAAACAACGCTCGATTTTTGAGAGCAATTATCTAAATGTACTCGCAGCTTCGACAGTGCAGATTTAATTAAGGGTGATGGCTCCGACACGTTTTAAACCATATTGTGATGTCGATGATAAAAATGACAACAGTTTTTACATCGAGACAGTTTTCCTCTCAGTTACTACATTATACACACATATTTTTGTTAGATTATTTGCTTCTGTAGGTTTACAAAAATTCCTCTCGTATAAAAGAATAACTTTCAGTGGTATTTGAATTTAGTTTACTTATGTTTAAGTTAAATATATATTAGGGAAGCAAATTCTTTCAGTTTAAAACTATTTTTATTTTAACATCCCTAGTGTACTTTATATTATATCAAGCGAATTTTGAAATTAGCGCTTGGTCCGATTTGTCGCGAAACGATCCGTCCCAGTTCGACGATCGTGTTCTTAGATTAACCATGGAGAATCGAAACGTCAAAGTGAGTTGAGAAATTATGCCTCGGTTCGCACTCAGAAATCACTGAACAGCTCAAATTGAATTATTTTATCCAGTGTGATGGATGATTATCGTAGAATAAATTAAAGGGAATAAATGCACAAACTGGTCCATTTACTGGTACTAGGTGCAGGACATGAATCCCTCCACGAAACTCCTGGTCGTAGTGCGCGACTACACACAGGCCGTAGGCAAGAAGCTCGAGGTGAAGACCTTCGAGCAGCTCGTCTTCCTCAACAGCTCTCTCTGCTCCTCTACAGCATTGTGAACACGCCCTGCAGGCCCGTCAAGCTAGGGAATTTCTCGCGCTACCTCGCTCAGAAATCACTGAACAACTCAAATTAAATTCACATTGGATATAGTACATTACATACCGAGACGCAAAGTACTCTATTCCTGTCGAGAGAACTCTGTAGTTTACCGAGAGACGCAGCTTCGGAGTGAACTAGTTATATACTGTTACAAAATAAACCTATACGCCGCCCCTACGACGCCTATGGGTTCTAGTATGTATGCCAATCATGACTCATTGTCGGTGACGGCGGCTGGAGAAGAGCCTGGAAGCGGATGTCGCGGCAGGTGTTCCAGAATAAGCCTAGAAGCGGGGACGGGGACCGTCGAGAAGAACCGCGCGGCTGTTTAAGTGGGAATCACTGTCGGGAGGAGTTAGAGCAGTCCAGAGCTGAATTCAGTTAACAAGTCGAGTCCAACGACTGCCGAGAGAACCCACAGACAAGTTGCGCCGGTATTATTTTGTATATAATCGCTCTCAAATTAGTCGTGTAAACCCGAGTAACTAAGAAATAAATTGTTGAGCTTAACCCACGCCGATTTTATATACCCGTTCAACGTAACAATACGGTATAGCACGTCATTATGTAAATTCATATGAGATTTATTTAGCGAAATTTTTATGATGGCATCATCAAATTTTGGATAGGGATAAACTTAAAAATTTTGGTTACCAGTTCACTATTCACAGGAAATTTTTAAAGCTAATCTAAAATTTCACAAAATAAGTTTGCCAAGTTCGGAGATTATCTATGATAAAATCGCCAATAAATAGATGAGACACTATAACAAATAGTAAAGCAGACGCTTTCGTATTGTACAAAGTGTGAAACATTAAAAAACATGAAATTAGAAGACTTTACGTTTTTTTGTTATTTTTGTTAACAGAACAAAGCCAGAGTATAACACATTGAAAATTAAAATTAAATTATATATTATACAAGGTGCTCAAAAAGTGGCGCACAAAATCAGCGATACATATACGTTATTTTAAGTTCACAATTCGAAGTTTGAGAAAAATCATTCATTAAAAAATTATTTACGTTAATTTGACACTCACTAACAAAAACAAAAAAAAGTGAAAAATTAGCCACTGTTCTCAGATTTATCCTAAACAATTTTTACATTTTATGTTATGTTATATAATGAAGAAAACGATGGTAAAGACAAGACACTTCCAAAATTATTTTGAATAATGAAAGCTCGATCAAATTCATATACACAACACGGAGTAGTGAATTAAAATATGGTGAAGGATCGAAAAGAAAAATTAAAACTTGAAGGGCTGTGTTTTTCATTTGGGTCTAAGAATAAAAAAAAAATCTGCTCCATAAACAATCCTGGATAACATGTCATGGAGATAATAAGCTTTGCAAAATATTATAATTTCTTTATGATAACCTCTAAAAAGAAAAATAATATACCTAACCGTTGCGCTGCAGAATTTCTGTGCTCATCGTTGCTTCTAAAAGTTGTTAACACCGTAATTTTCTTGCGAAAATTTAATGCCTGTGGGAAAACTAAGCCGGATTCATAAACCACAAGTAGAGGAGAATATTACTACATAACATTTAATAGTAATAATATACCAAGGGAGAGAAGACATTTTTCTGTCCCGAGCTAAATTATTTCCCGAGATTCTTCGGATCTGGGAAAATTAGAAAGCAAGGGCCTGAAAAGTTTTTTCTCGCGTGGTTATATATTTACTTTGTTTACTACTAGCACATTTGTTTAAGTTTAGCCAAATTCCAGCTGCCCAGTTCTACATTTTGGAGCTGTGATCTGTCATCAGTAATGTATAAAAAGTGATCTAGGTTAATGAAATCAACACTGTTAAATGTTTTTATTATCTAGAGTAGAAGCGAGAAATCCTTTATTTGGCAGGAGCGGTTGGTGCCAGGTGGCACAAGGGCACGTGCTCCCCCAAAATTACAACATCTACAAACACACTGGACATAGCAAGACAGTAATTTTCAATGATTATAAAATTATCTGAAAGTTTGTGTCATAATTATTATCAAAACTAATGTTTTTATCTCGCTCCACTTGTATAAAATGTATCAAAACTTGCATGTAAAGATGTTGTGTCTTGGATATATGATATGTTATGAAGTTCTGATAAAAGCGGAAACGGAGACCAAATCATGGCTGATTTAGACGTTTTGTTGATACCGTTGCCATGGAAACCGTGCGTCTAGAGCATGATACAATAAATACCAGGTATGATATTGCGCAGGTACG